AAACAATTTTACATTTCTTTTCAAAGCACCAGTCAATAAAACAACATGACTGAAATACAATTTTAACTTGACTTAAAAAGTACAATAAGTCCGTGACTGCTCAGAAAACAGCGATCGTCTGAAAGCTGCACACCCTGAAGCTCAAAACAAACTACTTTTATTTCTAAGTCATGCCCTTCAGCTTTCAGTGGCAAAGGGAAAACAGTTTGGCTGCAAGCAAGAATTCATTGCTAGGGATGTGTGTTTGAGTATTTCTAGTCTGAACACACTCACAAAAAAACACAATATACCTTACCAGTACTTTTCAAAGTAGAGTCATCACCCTGCCAACAAAAGTCCGCATGGTCAAAGCAATGGTATTCCTAGTAGTCATGTATGGCTGCGAGAGTTGGACTATAAGGAAGGCCGAGCGCCGAAGAATAGATTCTTTTGAACTATGGTGCTGGAGAAGACTCTTGAGAGTCCCTTGGACTGCAAGAAGAACAAATCAGTCAATCCTAAAAGAAATCAACCCTGACTGTTCCCTGGAAGGCCAGATAATGAAACTGAAGCTCAAATACTTTGGCCACCAAATGAGAAGGGAGCACTCACTGGAGAAGACCCTGATGCTGGGAAAGGCTGAAGGTCAAAGAAGACGGGGACGGCAAAGGATGAGATGGTTAGACAGTGTCATCGATGCAACGAACATGAAATTGAGCCAACTTCAGAGGACGGCGGAAGACCGGAAGGCCTGGCGTGATCTGGTCCATGGGGTTGCGAAGAGTTGAACTCGACTGTGCGACTGAACAACAACTTTTCAGATATATCAGGGTATCCAGAGAGATATTCGGGATTCTCATAATACCCATATCTGAGAGCCAAATATTTCTGGAAATATTGCTGAATATTCAAGGCTGGCAAATTAAGGCTCTTGGGTCTGTTTCCCCCCAATTTAAAGCATTTTTCTGGGCAACAGGAGGGAGTGGGGGGAGAGAGGAAGCCCTCTTAGGAAATGGGATCAAATGTTAGAGGGGAAGCATGTGAATAATTCTTGCCCGTCATGGCAATTCTCTCATAGTCCTCCATGGCTGGGTATGGACAAAGAGGATAGAAAAGCAGGCCTGGCTGCAGCTTTGCTCCATATCAGGGCGAGATGTTTTTGAAGGCACTGCTGCCCTACTCTGTCTGCCCCTTAAGATTAATTCTGCTGGATGCCTGGAAGGACCTTCTGGACCTCTTCAGGATGTGTTTGCTCACATTGGACTTTGTTTTAAAATTAGGGCTGCCAAGTGGGGGCAGGGGGCAGGTAAACCCCCACTTTGGAGGCCCGATTTCTGCCGCCGCGGAATCGGGCCCCGGGGGGAATCCCGCCCCCCGAAGCGCAGCGTGGGTGCATCACAGGAAGTGACGCAACCACGTAGATCACATTGGGGGCGTTCCTGTCCAAAAATAGCCCTGGTATTTAATATTATTTAATGTTATTATACGTGTGGTGTGTAACTCTCTTTTAGGCACACCTCTCTCTCAAGGGGTCCACATTGTGCAGGTATAGAGACCATTCAGCAATGAGGACTCTTTTCCGGATGGTGGAGGCCCTTAAGCCCTTTACCATTACAAATGTGATGTTGTCTGACACAGCAAGCCTTGATTCAAAGACTTCAGGGGAAGAAGACCACTTTCTGGACCCAGGTGCAGGACGTTGTAGACATTGTTCCAGCAGCGAGTGTGCTGGTGCAGAGGCTGCAAGAGGAAATGAAGTCCCACCTGGAACCTCTCACCAAGCAGAAGCTCTATGTGTTGCTGACCATGTGTGACCCATGCATCAAGAATAGCCTTGCCAAGCATGCCAGACAGCTCATTCACTGGACAGATGTGCTCTCTTGGCAGGTGTAGCACTTGCAGGCCGAGAAGTGCATGCTACCTTGAGGAGAGGAGGAGGGAGAATGCAGCTCTGCTGCTTTTTACCTCCTCCCCTTCTGGGGAGGCTCCCCCAGACCCACAGCTGAGAGGGCCATGGTGATGAATGCCATCAGGGAGGCAGTTGGCACCAGTGGGAATATGTTATGCATGAGCAGCAGGTGCAATGGTAAAGGACTACCTATCTGAGCCCTAAGAGTTGCATGCCACTGGCCCATTGAAAGCTACGGGGCCAGAAAAGAGAGAGTCTGGCTGCAGCTCTCTCTTGTGGCTCAGAAGCTCCTCTCATGCAGAGCGAACATTGATGGGTGACACTGTCAGTGCACACTGGTCATGTCTGCTCCCCTAGAGGACTCAGCCACTGGTGCTCCTGATGGTCACCTTGCCATTCTTCAGCTACCCAGTCCCGGACTTTGAGAGTGAAACCAGCACGTGCTTGTGCCTGCATCCTCTCAGTCAGTGCTGGAAAGTCAGGGGGAAATGCTCTTCCTCAAGCTTAAACTGCAGAAGCAGCAAGAAACAGCAGGGAAGCCACCCAGTCCGATTGGAACTACATAAAATCCAGTCTCCAAATTATGTTCTTAAAAAAACTCTAAACAAGCCAATCAGCCCTTAACTGAGCCATAGCTGCTGCTTGGCACAGGGGAATCTTTGTGGGGCTCAGCACCTCTTGGCACAATTCTGTGCAGAAAATTAAATGTGGTTAAAAATATTGTTCTTGCCATTGTCATAAAGAAAAAACCCCAAAAATCTCACCGGAACAAGAGATCACAGAATCATAGTTGGAAGTGACCTCCAGGGTCATCTAGTCCAACCGCATGCTCAATGCAGGAAATTCACAAATACCTCCCCCCACACCCCCAGTGGCCACTGTTCCACGCCCAAAAGATGGCAAAAAAACCTCCAGGATCCCTGGCCACAAGAAAAACTGCTGCCTGACCCCAAAGTGGTGATCAGAATTTCCTGGGCACATAAGGGCCACAAGAACTAATCACTGATGCAACCCTTCCTGCCCTCCCTCTCATGATCTGCCTAAGTTCACAGAATCAGCATTGCTTACAGATGGCCATCTAACCTCTGTTTGAAAACCTCCAAATGAGTGCCCACCATTCTGCTGAGGAACCACTCTGTCAGGAAGTTCTTCCTTGTGTTTAGCTGAAAACTCTTTTAATTTCAACCCATTGATTCTGGTCTGACATTCTGGGCTTGGTCTCCAGACCCCTCACCATCTTTGTTGCCCTCCTCTGGACATGTTCCAGCTTGTCTATATCCTTCTTAAATTGTGGTACCCAAAACTGAACACAATACTCTAGGTGAGGTCTAACCAGAGCGGAGTAGATGTTAGGAAAGTAGACGAGTATGTCAATTTAAAAAAGCAGAACCCACATAAACATCTAAAATGAAGATCACACATGCTATATCAGTGTTGTTTCTTCTTTATAAGGAACAGCCTTGCCAGTGATGAAGGGCAGCTGCAGCTCCTGAGGCTCCTCTGCAAGCTAGTGATAGTACAGGCTGCAGACTGTAGAGAGAGAGAACTTGGGTGCCCCAAACGTCTTCTCCAGCTTGCTTTCTGAGGCATTCTTTGGGGAAGTGACATTAGGGTATGTCTTGTGTTTTGTTAGATCTGGCTGGCTGCCTTGGTACTGGCTTGCCAGGTTGGCTTGGATTCTCTGGTTTGACATTGGTAGTGTTGGGCTTGACCCCTTGGACTGTAAGTTCTGCTGTGATTCTCTGGTTTGACGCTGGTTCTGTTTGCATTTGGAAACTTTGGGCCAGTTGGGTCCTCTTGTGTGTTTGGCTACTGGCTTCTTTGCCCTGGAGAAAGCATGAGATTTTCCCCCACAATAGGAAACAATGGAGACAAGTAGGATGCCTAGGGGCACCTTGTTAAGGGGCTTCTATAACTGGACCCCTTGTTCCAATTTGCTTGTAGCTTGGGAGACATTTAGTGGACAGGCAGGACTAGATTTCCTTCAATTGTGGTATCATTTACTTGGAAACAGCTCCCCTAGAGTCCCAATGTAGGGAATAACAGACCCCCCCCCAAATTTTGGAATTCTGAGAAGAAAAACAAGCACTCCAAATCAGAATGCTGAAATGGTGCTGGGGGACCTGAATATGCCAGAATACCAATATGGAACCTATTCCTGAAATCCCAAAAATACCATTTCCCCCCAGGTACACATCCCTATTCTTTTTCTTCTTCAACATTTAACTAGGAATGGAAAGATTCACAGCAAATCTCATTTCGAAGAACATCCCTATTCACTGCATTTTTATCACAGCTTTCTTCCAAAGGGTTCAGAGTGGCATTCTTCCTGAGAGTATCTGTTTATCCTTACAAGACCAGAAAGACAGGTTTGCCTGATTCAGTCAGTGTCATCACTTGGGGGGGTGGGGTTTGAACACGGGAGGAGGGGGCTTCAAATGCCAGTGGTATATATTTTCCATGAATAAGGACTGAGGTTCTTTTCCTGGCATCTCCTGAGGCTAGGAAAGGCCTCTAAACTAGACGTTAGGGAAATCTTGCTCAGTAGAGCAGGTAATACTGATGCAGAGAGCCAGTTTGGTGCAGTGGCTAAGAGCAGTGGACTCTAATCTGGAAAACTGGTTTCAATTCTCTACTCCTCCACATGAAGCCAGCTGGGTGACCTTGGGCCAGTCACAGTTCTTTCAGAGTTCTCTCAGCCCCTAAAAACAAGTCTCGCTCACCACTAGCATAACACTAAGAGCTAGAACTTGTGACTGCCGGACAACCTTCAGATCTCCTGACTATTCTACACATAATGCATACAATAATTAATTCCTGGTGTAGACTCAGTGAAAAGAAAGCATCATACACTTCATGTTCCAACCTAACATGCTGCCGACTACATAATGCTGGTTCTAGAGTCAGTCCTTAAAGGGGCAGAATAGCTATTTATCATTTTCTCTCCATCAGCTAAATAAATTTAGTATTTTGTTTAGAACACTTGTTGCCTATAACTCTACCAGCCAAAACAGACCTCGTTCCAGGAGCCCCAACTGTGCCCTTAATGGGCATTTAACAACAATAGAAGAGCCAGGAGAAGAAAAACAAATACCAGGGAAAATAAGGAATGTCTTATTAATCATGGATCCTTTTGCAAGTTTATTTGTTTGCGATTAATTTACACCTGCTATGTGCAAATGTCATTCCATAGTGATCACTAAAAATGTACGTATGACTTATAGCCCAAAGGCTTGACAAAGACAACAAAAGGCAAGATAAGGTGACTAAATTATCCAGTATTGCATACTATTTCCCCATTTTGTGTGCTACATTTACAAAGGAAAAGAAACACAAGAGCGCACTTCAATGGACTGCAAAATTATGGAGTTGATGAAAAGCATATGCTAGGAAACACATGTTTTCATGAGAAAATGTACAGCTTAATTAAAACTTGCTTGAAGCCTGAAGGTTATGACATCCTTTGGTGTCCAGAGTTTTAACATGACAAAATGTACAGGCATTTTCCTAATTAGGAATACATTTCCCTATTTAGGAATGAAGATCAAGCTCATAAAAAAGGAAACCCCCGAATAGTTTGTGGCTGAATATATTCTGCACCTATGTTAGCAGGTGTGGTGAACCTGGCAGAATACACAAGTCTGTTTTAAATCTTAAAGAGCCTTATTTCACCAGAAATCATCCAGGAAAAGTGTACTTAGAAGTGTATCTCTGCACCGTGACTAAATTATTTGTCACTATGCCCAAAGCCCATGTCCTCACCTCTTACCATTATTCAACTGGTTCTTGTCAAACGAATTCTGAATCTTGGAAGCAACTGGTGAAAGTATATGTATCCAAAATTTTTTGGAAGAAAATACTCAGGAAGTATGGAATTTGGGATTCCTTAGAACAGAGCTCGAATTGTTTGGTGTGTCCCCGCACTGGTAATGAAAGTTTACACGTGTCACACACAGCCATGTATGAAGGGAATACTTTGCTACCATCATGCTGCTATGTCCAGCAAGATCCACAAGACTTAGAAATAGCAAGAAATTCAGGACTCAATTTTAGACACGTCAGGTATATTACATTGAAAAGTCCTATTTTCAATTTTATTTTTTCTCAACAACACATTATTTAATACAGTCTCTCACAGTGACAATATTAACAGCAGCAACTAGTGTATAAAAAAGTTAATCTTCATCTGATGAATGTTCTTCTTGTTCTTTCCGTAGTTTCTCTGCATAGAATTTGAAGCTCTCCTGTAAGAGAATGAAGGTAAAGAGAAGGGTTGGAAAGAAGGCAAGTGACTATTTTTATTGTAGATACTAAAAACACAGCTCAAATCTCCCTGCTCCCCAAGCATCAGAAGGTGAAACCTGTTTTCCGAGCACTGGCCTCTAAGACCAGAATTGGTACCCTGTTCCTAATCAGGAAGAGCAATCATCACCCGGCCACTACCCAAACGTTTGATAGCGACTGATCTAAATAATACTACATCTCCCATAAATGTGCATGTGGAGTACATTTCCTTCTGAGTACACCATAAACAAATTTACTGTTTTAGCTCATTCATGCATCTAAATGAAAAGTGAGATTTCTGACTACCGGAGAAAATAAACTATCTCCAAAACAGGTCTTAGATAACCCTAGCTCAAAAACAAACAAACAAACAACACACACACACTAATTAACCCTACTAATTACATCTTCAGTCCCTGTTTTTGTAGACTCTCATCCTAAGTAATGGACTAATGCTTTATATGCAATTATTTCCCTCAATTAGGCAGAGTTTACCGAGGGGCTGCAGTATGTGTTTCTGTTGGCAAAATCATTAAGGTAAGTCAAGCTGCCTGAGAAAATTAGTTCATATGTTTTACATTTCCTTCCTATAAATGCTATTTTTTTGGGGAGGGGGAACCTTTTGCCTTTAAAAACTAGCAATTAGCTGACACCTAAACCTATTCTGAAATGCTGGCGATAAAACACTACAAGGATGCTGGATAAACGCACACCTCAACACGAATGCTGAATAATGCTCTTGTACTTTGAACACAGGAGCCCCCAAAGGTTTCCTTCACCTACCAGTCTCGTCTAATGCCAGATTACTACAATGCCTACCAACCCACTCTGTGCTTCATTTGCCCGGCTCCTCTGAGGGTTCTCTGTGAAGCCTTAATCCCAGCATAATTAAGTATGCTGCTAGTTGTTTTAACACACAACACACACACACACACACACGCAAGTCTGCAGAGGTATTTCATTTGAAAATGGGTAAACACTCACAGGGGGCTCCGTGAAAGGAACAGGCTCTCCAGCGTTTTTCAGGAGGACGGCCAAGCGTTTCAAGAACAACTCGTCTGGGTGCAATTCCTCTGCTTTCATTTTCTCATACAGAGCTTTTGCTGAAGCAACATCCCCGTCTAATGCTAAGGAGAAAGCAAAGAGGAAAAAATTGCAGGAGAGATTTAACGTAAGAATGTATTATGCCAGAAATTCCATCACCATTCAATTTAGGGCTCATGCATATGGTTTGCAAGAAGCTAACAGGCTTAAGTTTGTTACTCTATAGTAATAGCTAATTAAAAAATTCTTGGATTAAGTAGATCTGAAGTAGGGATGCAGGAGTTAATCGAATAATTGTTGTGAATAAATGAGGTACAGCTTTAATTGCAGATTAAATTTGTCTCTTGAAGAATTATGAGGGCTGAAAAGTGGAGATGCCAAATTTGGGGGACTCCTGAGGCACTTCTGCATTGCAGGTCTAAGAGATAAACTGACTTCCTTGTCCCTGTGCCAAGTCTGAAAAAATATGGTGGATTTCCCTTTCTATTATTACACTAAAGTAGCAGTTGTAGCTACAATGGCTTTCTTTCTACTGGAAAGTATAAGCAAAAAGCTTAGGTAACTGAAAGAAACCTTACTTGGCTATCTGTCTTGGATTTCTTTCTCAAGCCAAATTTGGCTAAAGTGGATTACTGTAAAAAGGAACACTCTGTATTCCAAAATCTGAAGAAAGTACTCTTTTCTTTAAGTGGCAGTTTTTAAAATGAAGTTCTTGCCCTCCTCTTTCCTTAAAAAAGCCTCTTCCTTTTAGACTCGGAAGTAAAAAAGATAGCCCTGACCTGGATAGCAGAGGCTGGAAGCTAAGCAGGGTTGCCTTGGTTAGTATTTCAATGGGAGACCACCAAGGAAGTCAAGGGTCACAACACTGAGGCAGGAATGGCAAACCATCTCTGAATGCCTCTTGTCTTGAAAACCCTACAGGGTCGCCATAAGTCAACTGTGACTTGGTGGTGGTGGTGGGGGAAGATTAATAAAGTAAAACCTGCTGACAGCCAGAATTGAAGGCTAGGGATGGAAAGAACTGTTGAAAGCAAGTCAAAAGAGGGAATCCCTCCAAAGTGAGGCTTGGCTCCCTCTTCACCAGGGTTCCCACTAACGTGCAACAGCCTGTGCTTGGAAGGGTGGGAGGGGAGAGGGGAGCCACATGGAGCACTCTGATGGGCGGGCCCACCACCCCGCTTGCTTTAAAGAGCAGAAAGCCATTTCAGCTCTCCCTTTCGCTTCCCCCCACTTGGAAGCAGTGGGGAGCCAAAGAGAGCACTCTGATGGCTGCCCGCCCTTTGAAGCAAGCAGCTGGCTGGTGTACCTACCCGCGCTGCTTGCTTTAAAGGGCGGGGAGCCATTTCAGAACTCCCTTTGGTCCCCCTCCCACCTGGAAGCGGGGGGAGCCCAACAGAAAACTCTAATGGCTACCCGTCATCTATTTGCTTTCTTTCTACTACTCCCCTTCCTTCCTTCCTTTTTGTATGTGTGTAAACTGAAATATCATTTATTTATTTTTTTAAAAATTCAGGCTCACTCACAACCAATGTTCCCTCTAAGCTGTAGAGTCTTGTGAGCAAAAAATCCACTTTGTGAGCTACTGCATTAAAGCTATGAGCAGTAATTTGGCTACTGCATAAATTAGTTTGCTCGGGAGCTATCCTTCCTGAGTTAAGAGAAAAATGTGTGAGCTGGAGGCTAAAAAACTGTGAGCTAGCTCACACTAACTCAGCTTAGAGGGAACACTGCTCAGAACTTTTATGCTTGTAGAGTTTTTGGCTCACAAGATAGAATTTTTGCTCACAACAGTCGACAGCTTAGAAGGAACATTGCCCATCACTAGAAGTGAACTAGGAACAGTCTTTCTTTGAGAGCCAGTGTGGTGTAGTAGTTAGGAGTGTGGACTCTAATCTGGGAGAACTAGGTTTGATTCCCCACTCCTCCACATGCAGCTGTTGGTGTGACCTTGGGTCAGTTACAAGCTCTTTCAGAGCTGTTCTTTCACAAGCAGTCTTCAAGAGAGCTCTCTCAGCCCCAACTACCTCACAGGGTGTCTGTTGTGGGGAGGGGAAGGAGATTGTAAGCCACTCTGAGACTCCTTTAGGTAGTGAAGGGTGGGGTATAAATCCAACCTCCCCCTCCTTTTCTTCTTTCATTTGTTAGTTCTAAGCAGTGTCTATAGTCAGATTTCCAATGTTTGTTTATTTATTGTATTTACAGCCCACATTTCTTCCCAATGGGGACCCAAAATGGTTTACATCGTTTGCCTCCATTTTTTCCTCACAACAGGTAAGTTAGGCTGACTCTGCATGACTGGCCCAAGGTTACCCAGCAAAATTCTACAGAGGAGTGGGGATTCAAACCTGGGTCCCAAATCCTACTCTAGCACTCTAGTGACTATACCACTTTGAATATACAATGGCCTGGTCAGAATTCCTTGTTAGGTTATTGAATTTCAAGTCATTTGTAAAAAGAAGACACAAAAGGCAAAAAACCATAGAGTATAAATTAATTTGATTACCAAGCTTGGATTCAGACTTAAGATTCCTAGTTTATCTGGTCATGTATAATTATGAATTGTTTTTCCTGCAACAAAGGACTCAAAGCAATGTTCAAGAATCCTGGTGTAGAAAGAAAAAACAAGAACATTCCTCTATTGATTCCCATTCCCATTCCCACGGCAGCTCTCAAGCAGCATCTCTTTATATGATGCCTTTCCTTCTGTTTTTGTGATGAAAGGCAGAGCCACTGAACTGGTCCTAGCCTAGGACCTGGAAAATTATATTCAATTGATTTACTTTTTTCATTTACCTTTTCGATAGCTGTCTTCACAATAGAAAGTTACTTAACACTTTTAATAAGGAAAACTACAAAGCTTATTCTGCAGAGATGTATACTGCAGACACCTCCATTTGCCGAGGAAAAACTTCCCACTCACAGCTGCAAGTGGAAGAGTTTCTTTTTAACTGTGGGAGGCTTCAGAACCAGCACAAAGTGATGGTTTAATGAAGGTATAATAGAAATTCTTAACTTCCCATTTCTTCAAAATAGAAGTATCTATTGTATGAAAAAAAAAACACCAAAAAAGGAAGATCTAATACTGAGATTATGTTTAATGGACCGCACAACTGAGACGTTTTCTTGGTATATTCTTGGCTAGGATTTAAAAAGAGCTCTCTTTCTCTCTCAATCCCCCCTCCCCCCCAAATACCCTGGACACAGTCCCAGAGGTTTACAACTCTGGTGACAAGCAGAATGGGAGACTACATGATTTCTGGCTCGTAGGCAGCCTATCTTTGCAGCTCACTTTTCTGCAACATATTCACCTTTCATACTTCAGAAAAACTGGTCACAAAAATATTATCTGAAAAACAGTTTCAAAAGGTCTGCAGTAGAAAAAGCTACGTTTGAGTCCCATAGAGCACCTCAGAGACCAGCAAAAAAGTTTTTTGGGGGGGCTTTCGCAATCTGACGAAGGGAGCTTTGACTCCCCAAAGCTCATACCCTGAAACTCTTGTTAGTCTCTAAGGTGCTACTGGACTTGAATCTAGCTGTTCTATCTGAAAAGTAGAAACACTGCCTGCCCTTTAACAACGTCTGAGGTCACATAAACCTCCTGCAGCAGAGAATTTTGAATTTAGGGATGGAAAAAGGTAAGAACATTGCTAATTAATATAACTTTAGGTTTCTAAAGATGGTCATGAAATTTCTTAACACGTATACACAACTTAATAGGGACTTCTTCACTTGTTACTTTCCAAAGGGAAATATTTACTTGGTAATTGTCATAGCTTTGCATGTGCCCTTGATACTGCACTGTGGATGTCTGAATGAGGTATTTCCTGGCCACCTGAGCAATCCCACCCTCTTCCAGGGGACAGGCTGGGGGGGGGGGAGGCAAATGTGACATTCAGATGCAACCTGTAGAATCAGAGGCGCATGAGAGTATCAACAGCTAACATCTCATTGAGAAAAATTAGTTTGTGGCTAAAGGTAGACATTTAAAACGTGTGCAAAATAAACAGTGTAGTCTGAAACTGATGTGCTAAAATATACATGGCATACTATGAAACTTTATATAACAGATGACTGTTCACATAGTTTAATATTATCTCCTTTAACTTCCAAGGCCTTGTACAAAGGCCTTTTTAACATTCAATATCCTTCTCCCCTGCCATAAGTTTGTTAAAGTATGATTTTGTCTGGACCAAATAAACATCAGCTACAGTGCAGATTTCACTGGTGTTGTCTCTGAGCCATTAACAAGCTATATAGGCTCTGAAATGCATATATTTAAAGAAGAATCTTAAGTGTTAAACTATGCATGGTGTTCTGAAGTACTTGAGATGTCCATGAAATTCCAAATTTAAATAAGCTATACCTTACCATAACTTCTCATGAGGAAAGTGTATACAACTTTCATATCTGGAAAGTCAGGAATCAGTTCTAACAATGTCATGATTTTATGAACCTAGAAAAATTAAAAACAGAAATAGACTTTGGGTTTTCTATATAAATGGAGAAAGACGCCTTCATAAGAACCTGTGACAAGGAAGAATGTATTTTATTTTAGAAAATTTGTATTCCACCTTTCTGTCATTAAAGTTACGCCCGATGCAGCTATGGTGGACAACTAGAAGTATGTGCAGGCAGGATCAGTGCTTTTAAATAGAGAACAAGAAACCAGACCGTAAAATCCTCTTTGTTATGCTCCCATTCTTATGTTATATTAGTAATGTAAAAAGCAGTAATAATAATAAATACTAATAATATCACTCACATGTCCAACAACAGTTTCTTTGATGTAAGCCTCCAAACTACTACTAAATTTGTGGTAGGCTATTACGGCTATTGTATAGGGCTATGAAGACAGGTTACATATAAAAAATTGGTCAGAAAAGCAGTGTATAGATGTAGCACACATGCTGCTCTCAATTGTGACTTATTTAAGCAAATTAGAAAACCATCAAATCCATGACTAACAGAACATCACTCTTTAATGTAATCCTATGTATTTGGGAAGATGAAGACGTACAACACAATCCTCTAGAAAATACTGTGGCTTGTTCAGCTCCTACTCTCAGGGCAGCTTGCACAGGACAACTTTTCAGTGGATTGTGTCCTTAATCTTTTTCTGACAAAAAGTGATTAAGAACTTCTTATAAACCAGAGAAGGCAAGTCTCATCTGCATTTTGAAGCACTGTAATTCCATGTAGTTTAATAGAGTACCCCTTAACAAATATTTTATGCATTGTTTTCTAAAATGGGTTCTTTTAAGTAACAGCAACGTACCTGCTTAAGAGAAGTCACGTGATCTCAGTGGTCTACTTTTCCTATTAATACCTTCTTTTAAACAGATTGCTTGCTGCCAGAAACAGAACTGTTTGACTCTCTAACTAGCCAAATCTTCCCTTATAAGAGTACATGTTGGATGGTACTGAAGGTTGCAGTCCTTGGATGATGGAACCATTCGGAATGTCTCAAAGGACGGGATAATTTACCTCATGATTTAATTTAAGCAGTTTCTATATGAATGCATATTCCAATTTATGCTGTTTGATCAACAGCAACATGAAGTTCTCTGTGAGCTGTATACTCATTAAAATCCAGAGATCCTCAACTTCAATTTAAAAATTCTTATCAGAGTCACATACAAATATTTTTCCTGTGCCCCACCTTTTTTTAAAGTTCAGAGCTAGGCTCTCTTTGGATTACAACATGAAATGCCTTGTGATATTCATTTGATTTCTATACGCTTGACTGCTGAATGTCAAGTGAAATCCTCTCTCTTTAAATTGGCTTTCCCTGCTATGTAATGGGATATTTTCTGCTGGTTTTTAACCTGGAAATGCATTTTTTTTTAACCTGGCTGTGCAATCTAGTTTATATTGACAGTTTTATTGATAACTATGAATGCTTTATTGCTTTATTATTAGTAGCAGTGTATGATTTTTTTAACCATTTTTAGGTGTTGCCTCAGTAGAAAAATGGTCTGTAGATTCTCAAATGTATTTATTTACATTCTTTACAGTTTGCCTTTCTCTCTGGAACTCAAGGTGAATTCCACAGAATAAGTGTACCAAGGTATTAGTATAAAGGTAAAATAGACACATTCCTAAATTGGTTCTTTTGAAATATTGTGATTTCTAAAGCTGCTGTTACATTTTTTTAGAACTTTATATAGAACTGTGATTTTCAGTATCTGAGTAGATTCACTCCATGACATCACCTCTTTGCATGTTGAAACACTCTACAGCCAATTCACAATTAACCCTGGCAGCCTGCTTGGAGATTGTGGACTTTAAGAGACACTTGTAGTGAACTAGTAGTTGAAGTGGTTCTTCACAATCATGGCCTGCAACCTCAGAAACTATCGTACAGCATCTTTCCCCAATATTAGGCAAACAGACATCAATATAGTATCTTCTAGAGACAGATGAGGGTAGGGGTGGTAATTTCTCAACTGCTTATCTCCCCCCCAGGAGTCCTTGTAGGTGCTGACTCATTTTTCTGAAAACAAACCAAATCTCTGCAAGAAAAACAGTGCTAAGGATTTACAGCACCACAGCACAGCAGCTGATGAATCTGTCCTGCCCGTCATGGCGTGGCAGACATCATATACATGCAAATACCGTTATCAGAAGCCTCATTAAGGGTGGATGTTGGTCAATGCAAGAGAGCACCCGTGAATGGCTCAACCAGGTTCCTCTGCAGGGAAGATACTGATTTTTTTTGGGGGGGGGGTAGTATGGTAAGCAACCACCCCTGCATTAAATGCCGAAGGGGCCAATTTTAACATCTGAGCTCTTCAATAATTTTTAGTAATATTTGGAAGTATTTATGCCACTGATGAATAAATTCCCCAGTTTGAGTATACCAGCTGTTTCCCCCCATAAATGTCACTGAATACAGTAAAGAAACTGAAAACAAATAAACCAAAATAGGAACAGAATTACAAATAGTACATGTGCTATATATTGCTCTACACAGTGCTTACATTGTCTAATACATTTCATGGACTACAGACCAACCACTGTTTGTGGTGCATCATTTAATAACATATTCCATATTCTACACTGCCCCCAAGCTCCAAACTTATGGGTTTACTGAGTCATTAAAGATTTTGCTTTTCTTTCCTTTCTTGATGGATAAAATGCACTGTGTTAACATCTGTGCCCCGAATGCTAAATAGCCATGAATGCTGCTCAGAGGGCAGAATTAAGTGGAAGATGCTGGAGAGAACATACAAATTACATTAAAGCAGAAAAGTTGTTCTACCTGTCCTGGTTGCTGGGATGCCTGAGCAATGAAAGCCACCAGATTCCTCTTTTGTTCACTTATTGCACTGCATCTCTTTTAGAATGAAATAGGGAGGAGGAAGAGAGAAAATTAAATGAGCAAAAGCAACTGTAGTCTCTTGATAAATAAAACTAGCTAAGGTGAAAACTTCCAATTAGAAAGGCTGACAATAATCAGTAATATATCATTATTACCAAAGGCCTTAATCGCCGACCACTTATTAAAAACCTGCAGAAAAGGAAAACAAATGGTGTGGTATGCCAATTTTTTCTCCCTTTTTTTGCTCCCTGGCAAATGCTGTCCTTGGCACAGTAAGCATTAGGTTTGCTGAGGCGGGGGGAGGAATGGAAAATGAAAAAATGCTTTAACATCCTACAGAAAAAGAGATTTAGGACTGTAAAAGAAAGAAAGGGGGGGGGGAGAACACTATTCCTCTCCAATTATTCTGCCAAGCATTCACAAGTGAGCTAGGGATCATAAGGTTAATTATACATTTAATAAGGTGTCAGGGAGATAACTGCTCGTTTCTTTATAAAAATTAAAATGTACAAAGCAAGTTCTCTTTAAAGTATAATTACCTACACTTATGCATACAAAAGGACTGATTTCAATCTCTCTATTTTATAAAAGGCTTTCTCTGCAACAGACAGCCAGTGCTCAAGAGACAAAAGTTAAACTTAAAAAAAGTTTGTGACAGACCCAGTAAATCAAGTGTCTATCCCATCATCGGAAACGATAACAATAAAAAAAAAATCAAGTATGCCATACAATATTTTAGTTTATGCTTCAAAGCGTCATTTTTGAAAAAAGTGCACTCTTAAATAAAAAAATAACTTTCTCACATTATAGGAAAATTCTAGTTTGTAGAACATGTGAACACACAGGTGGCACAGTGAATTATTTTATAAGCTGATATTGTAGACATCTGTGAATAAAAACTAATTCAATAAGCTATTAAGAATGAACAATGTATATAATGCTGCCTTGTCAAGTATTTGGAGATCTCAGTGAAAAGTTTATCATTGAAAGCATCACTCCTCAAATGAATGGTAGAAAAGGAAGCCAAGTTGAAATCCCTGTACTTTGATTCATTATTAAATTTCTATCCTCCTTCCCTGCCAAGCTTGAATAGTTATTAAGGCAAATAATTACTTTATGATAGATGCCTTCAAGAGATGCTCCAAAGAAACAAGCAGTAGGGTTAATACAGCATTAGAAATAAAGAACTGTCAGCAGAAAGAAGATACCTCGTCCAAGTTCATGCCATGCTGTAACAGGTAATTTCTAGGCAGTTCTCATGTTTCTGCTTGTGCAAGCCTTCCACAAGCCCACGCAAAACCAAATCATCATATCTGGATTTAGTCTTACTTTTTTCATGCAATGCTCCAACCAAGATGTAAAACTACTCTTCCACGAACAGAAGGTCCCTTCTGCACACAGCATTTGCCATCCCTTAATTCCATGTTTTATTTATTTTATTTTTATTTTATTGCATTTATAGCCCTCCCTCCCTGCAAGTGGGCTCAGGGCCTTGGAGAAAGGAGACAAGCCACTGCAAGGCCAGCCCCTGTATCCCCATGCCGGCGAGGCGGTGGGCTAGTAGCTAATGGTCGAACGTGTCAAAGGCGACTGACAGATCTAACAACAACAGCACTGCCAAACCGCCCCGATCCAGATGCCTCCGGAGGTCCTCAGTAAGGGCGACCAGCACTGTCTCCGTCCCGTGTCTGGGCGAAAGCCAGACTGGAAGGGATCTAATACAGGAGCGTCATCCAGAAAGCTCTGCAACTGTTTTGCCACTGCCCTCTCGATTAATTTGCCCAGATAAGGCAGGTTGGAAACCGGCTGGTAGTTGGCCAATTCAGCCAGCTCCAAAGATGGCTTTTTCAAGAGAGGGCGGACCATCACTTCCTTGAGTGCCTCCGGAAATCTCCCTTAGGGAGAAAGGAAAGGGTTTGAAGGAAAGGGTTCATCACATATGCAAGAAATGGCTTAACATTAAACATTGAACTGTAAAGAGCTGCACAGCCCATGTACCTCACCATAATCCGTTTTATTTATTTAAAATGAAATATTTCTAAACCAGCCTTTCTCTTTATGTAGTTGATACCCAGGGTGGGTAAGAATGTAGGAAAAATAAGACAAAACACCTCTGGAATGAATAAAGCTAGCATTATACTGCCCTGACCACAATACATGCAGGGAGAAGTAGTCCTTAAAATATGTGGGTCCCCAATTGTGAAAGAACTCTTAAAAGCTAAGTTCCAGTATCTCAAATTGCACTCAGAAACAGAGTGGCAGCCAGCAAAAAGACCTTAAAACTGGTTATTTGCTCCCAGATAATAAATGGGGAGCTGCATTTTGAACCAAATGAAGTTTCTGAGTTGTCTTCCAGGGCAGCTCCACAAAAAGCTTGTTATAATAATCAACCCTTAGTTACTGTAGTATGGTGAGATCAGTGACCTGTAGAAAAGACACAAACTTCCAAGTTGTGTGCAACTGAAATGAGGTACTGTAAAACAGTGCTGCCATGAAACCCAGAGGGCTGCTGTTTAAAAAGCCCCAAATTTGGGAGTGTGCAACTAGTTGCAAAGTTCTTTGGATCCCAGACTAGATTTAGGCCTTGACCTACCCCTACAGATTCAGGGATGCTTACTTTGGTTTCCTCAAGTCATACACTCTGTAACAAATGGGTCACAACAATTTTCAGGAAAACAAGTAGTAATTCCTTTCTGCTCGCTAGTTTGTTTTGCAAATTACAGCTTTCCCACAATGCATACTTTGCTCAGTACCATTCATCTCCCACCCACAATTACCAGATAAAATAGCTAGATCTGAGTCCAGTAGCACCTTAGAAACCAACAAAAGTTTGGGAGTATGAGCTTTTGAGATACTTGCCAGGTACCCTGAAAATCCTATTCGTTTCTAAGGTGCCACTGGACTCAAGTCTAGTAGTTCTACTGCAGGCCAACACAGCTACCCTCTGAAACAATTATCAGATAGTTATTTCAAATTCCCTTTACCGTTTCTAAACTAAGTAAACCAGGTTTTTATTATGTAATAATTAAGTTTGAAGAGCCCACATAAAAATAAACTTAGAGGACAAGGCGACAACCTAAGCACTGAATATATAGTTCGCTTAATTATATAAGCAGCAGACATGGATCAAATTCACCACTGCCAATTCCCCCCTCCCCCAGATGCCACAAAATCTTCTGATGACTAAAGAGAGGGTTTTTCTTTCCTCTTACCCTTTAACGTACTTAGCAGTTAAGCAAGAACGTAAGTGAATGTAGCACTATTTACTATCACAAATTGGTAACGGGCCTCAATTTGACACAGGGAGTCTACACAAAAGCAGCAATCTGCAGGATCACTGTGATTGTTTGACTGCCACCTGCTGGGAAAAGACTTCCCGTCGGAGCCTGTTTGTGTATGCTGCCAATGGCAGCTCTTATCACCCATGGTTCATTCTGCATATTTCTCAGCTTTATATTTAGCACTGTTAAAGTGGCATGAACGCCGTTGTCTCATTCACTGAAGACAGCCAGTTTTAAAAGTTGGAAAGACTGAGGACCACCAGAGATCTGCATTTGTCAGAATGTGTCAGTGCCACACAAACTAAGCAGGAAGCAAATGCAGCTTCTATTAGCAATACTAATAATAATAAGCCTTCAGTGGTACTCAGAGAAGGTGTTTGGCTATTCAAAAGATGCTGTTATGGAATGAAAGGAAAAAAATGTTTATTTAAAAAAGAGTTCCCAGTGAAGATTTATGGCATTTATCTTCAGCTTTTCAGCCAAAAATCGGCCTCAAATTGTTTATGACAATTAAAACCTATTGCAATTAAAGGCAGCTGTGTCTTATCTCACTTTGGCCATCATTTATTCTTGGCTCTTCTCCCTCCCACCTACTCTGGAGCACGGCCTGTTTCCTCTAGGATGCAGAAAACGGGATGGGTGGTGGGCGGGGTACTGGAACCAAGACATTTATATAATTATTTCATTCAAGATATTAGGAGAGGGAGAATGTTCTGCTAAGAGAAATACAGTTCAAAAGCCCCAGCCGGATACTACCCTTATAGCCGTTATTCCTGTGGTTTGGGACATTTCACATTAGATAAAAAACAAAGCAATTGCTCCCTCCCCAAACCAATACAACTCTGGCATGCATCGTATTCCTCTAGAATTCCCAATCTGTAGCCCAGGTCATGCAAATGAAATTCAAGATGCTCTACATTTAAGAATGCATCAAGTTACTTTTGACAAGCCTCAGAGCATTGTTAGAGTTCTGGTATATTATTACCTCTAGTAGAAATCTGGCATCATCTACTCTTCCTGCACTGATATACTGAAGGAAAAGGTCTGTGACAGGCCTGTACATTCCAAACTGATTAGCAAATCGTTCAGCCATGGCACTCACTGAAAAATAAATGATTGAAATAAAATGGACAGTTATAGAAGCAACAATCCCTTTGTTTTAAAAACACACCAATAACATATAGCGGTACTGAACAAGTAATTTCAATATCAGGTATGGCATTTAAGGCAGCTTGTTACAAAACCCATCATAATAAAGCAGTATCAGTATAGCACACCAAAGAACAGGAAAAAACCCCAGCATTTGTGACCAGCAACAGACAGCAAAACCATTTCACAAGAGCTCAACCAGCCAATTACAACAGAAAAAAACAACAAACTATACCAATTATGAACCCATCAAATTTCTTTTAAAGAAATTAACAACATTCCAAAAGCTTTTGAAAAACAGGATGGGCTTTGCTTGGAATCTAAAAATAATATAGAATGTCCAGAAGGATTTTCCTCAATAGAGAGTCGTATAATTGGATGAAGCTACAGAAAACTGAAGCTTCTCTTTAAAGAAACACAAATAAGTAAAAATGTGAATTAACTTGTATCAGAATTAGAATCATAGAGATGGAAGGGATCTCCCGGGTCATCTAGTCCCTGCACAATGCAGGAAATCCACAAATATCCCCCCCCCCCCGCACACAAACACTCAGTGACCGCTGTGACTAACTCACCTGGGGCAAGTAAGAATTGCCTTTAGAAGATGAGACTGGGAAGCTTTATAAAAGTTACTTATTTTGAAACTTACATGGTCACAAATATCAACATAGTATGTGTGGGTAAGGATAGGCTAATAAACTCGAATGCATGGAACAGAGTCAGATTATCAGAGCAGGCATGGAATCCACAACCATCCACTGAAGAAATAGGAGAAAAGGCTGCCTCAAGAGAGGGAATGGAAGACATCTCCTAGACCAGCCATGGCCGAGCCTACCTCCTATGGGTACAAAACATCATATCTATGGTCTTGGTAACAAGTAAGAAGTCTTAGTACCTGCTACCAGAGATCCTTTAACTGGATATGCCAGGAATGGAACCTGGGACCTATGGCATACAACCAATTCTTTTTGGCTGACTTACATCTCTCCAAAGCTGGTTCCACTTTTTCTTCAATCAACTTTCTAAAGACAAAGGCAATGCTTGAACTTGATGATTCGGACTTCAGCTCTCCAGAGGTAAAAAGAGTCTCAAGGTATTCCATGGCACCATCAAGGTTATTACTGGAAGAGAAAAAGAAACATTGCACTGGTTTAGTTCCTAATCCTAAACCAATAAAACAGGGGCATTAATGTTTTATTTTATTACTACATTAATATTACACACAGTAGCAATGTTAAAAGTACCTAGGACTCCATTCATGCAGATATTGTCACAACACAAAGTGAAACAAATTTATGGCTGAGTGGGTAAAGTCAGCACTAACTCTGTTTCTTTTCAACCAAACTATGACCTGTTCTATGGCTGAATAACTCTGACATAAATGTTGCCTTTTTTTCTTCCTTAGCAGAACAAAGATGACTGCTGGTTGGTTCTTTGAAACAGTAAAATGGCAAAAACAAAACATCAAGAGATAGCACCTGAATAATTAATATAGAAGGACCCAAAGAGTATTTTTATAATATTAAATTAAATATTTTCTTGAATTTTTTATACCTGTCTTTTTGGATGCAAACACAGCCATATCCAATCTGAGAAGTTTAACGGCTTTGTCTGCTACACACACTCTCTTTGGAGTTCTGCGCCATCAGAGAGGAATGCATAAGAAAGTACTGATGTCATGAGAAATAAAAACAGTTTTGCCTTCAGTAAAAGTTATATATACAAAAAATTCAGATGCAAAACATTTTTCATCAAGTTAATATTTGAACAGGTACCAGCTCTTAAGTGACTGACACTTGTTACTGTTTTGTGATGAGCTCACTGTTAATCCACAGAGGTACCTGAACTGCAAAACAAAGCAGTATTTCGAAGAGGTAGCAAGGCACTTGTTGATAAAACTGAAATCTGAACAAACAGCTATAATTGGGTATACCTTGTAATATAACATACAATTTAATAAACTTAGAAGGGAACTGGATGAGAAACAATTGCTTACAGCAAGGCTCCCCAGTCTTTCTGAGTCTTAGGGCACTTTTCAAATTCTGACACAACAGAATGGCTGCCGCAGAAGATAGAGCTACATGCCAACCCAGAGGAACCCCAAGACCAGGGGAGAAGAGGTAATTTTAAAAAATACACTGGGGAAGCAATGTTATTTTAACTGCAAAGCCAATCAGAAGCCATGCCTTTCAAGAGTTCCACCTGGCCCCACCCACTTTCTGAAAACACTTGGTGGGCATCAGGTAAGTTGTTGGCAGGTGCCGTGGCACCCACCGGCACCATATTGGGAACCCCTGGCTTTAGAATAAGATTGAAAATCATATCAAAAATATTGATCAGATAAAGAGTCACATAGACCTGATATAAAAAGCCAATGGAGTTCCGTTGAAAAATCTGCCATAGGAAAAATCATTTAAAAGAATGGCAATCAAATAAGTAGTGTACTAGCTAATGTATACTATAAAATTAAGCTCTCGCCTTTCTTTCCAAGTCAGCGAGATGCTGAGAGTGCTGCACACTCTTTATAACTCCAAAAAAATCACACATGCCCTCTTGTTTATGTAAAGGAGTGCAACACAAATGTAATCCTGACATTTGCAAAAAGAAAACCCCTTACTGGTGCAAAGCGAAAAAACTTTCATTGGCTTTGTGGAGGTTTGCATCATGCTGTAAATTAAAACAGACATCAGCCTAAGAAGGGGCTCTGATTAGGTAGGCAGAATTTGATAAACACACATATTTGACATCATTAGCCTACTCAAAGTTCACTTATCCAGTAATAACCTGCCGGCTTCTGCATTTCATTAAATGGACTCCAGTCTCCATTGTTTCCTGGATAAGGAATCTCAACGGCAGCCTATTTTAGCATCCATTTAACTATAATGAAGAGAAAGGTTATTTGAATGCAAGGAAAATAAGGTCACCATATTGTCTTTTTTCCTGCTTGTAAACCAGAATATCCACTAGAAAGGAGCTTACTTTTTGATGTGAGCCAACACTGTGTTATTGATGAAAAGCATAGGTGACAATTTAATAGAACTGCTGAAGCTTCCTATCATCTTCTCAACTGCGCGTATGCTTTCCAGATCTCCCTTCTGAGCCAAAGTCTGAACAAGACGCGTAACTGCAAGTCGACTGGGCACTTTGCCACTTTCAAGAAGGGTCTTGAGAGAAGACACTGCATCTATTGAGGATATGGAGAACAAGAAAGAAAGCTCTCAACTCAGAAACAGAAACTTAGGTCTTCATATAACATCACATATATATATATTTTATGAGCAGAAGAAAGAAAAAGAGAAAATATCCTGAACCCTCTTTAGTGAACAAGAAGGGGAGGTTCTTTTGTGCAGCACCTACAGAAAGTAATCATATTCTACACATATAATGACAGAACCAAAGTTCGCTATCATGGAAATGAGTGAATGTGCTCCCTCCCTTCTTCTCTCATGAGGCATGACTAAGAAACTGAACACTGCAGTGACAAACTGCAATTCACTGCTTTGTCCAAATCACACTGGTTTCTGCTTTCTCAACACAGTTTAGAATCCTGGTCTTGAGAACCTGATCAAGTTCAGACAAAAAACTATGGGGCAAATGTCATGACCATACACAAGCAGAGGCCATGAACAGAAATTTCCCAGGCTTGTTTTTGTGAAGAAACCAAGCACGGTTTGATACTGTGTGTGAATATAGCCTATGGATAGCTGTTATTTTAATTTCCTGTGGCTCATACCCAGTGCCAGTGACCTTTTAGTTCTTGGGACGAGCGTTTCCAAAAGTAAAACCTCTATGTGACTTATTTTTTTTAAAAAGTACATCCATATCTCCAAAGTGCCTTACCACTTTATTTATTTATCTATTGGATTTTTATTCTGCCCTTCCCAAAGTGGTGGGCTCAGGGCAGATCACAACAAGTAGAGTCAAAGACTCATTACAATAAAATTGCATTACATTAAAATAATTAAAACAATAAAATTCAGAGGTAGCAGCAAATTACATAAAAAGAAAAGGACTGTTAGGGTCATACAGGTGGAATCAGAGCATTTCAGTAGACTGGGAACTAAACTAGGGAGGCCAACTAAGATGGACGCCCACCGCCTCACCCGAAGGCCTGATGGAACAGCTCCGTTTTACAGGCCCTGCAGTCTGACTTTACTTAAATACAAAACAGCTCTAAAATAAATAAGCATATGTAGTACAGTACAAAAATATAAACAATATTAAATATTATTACAGGCTTCAGTGAACAGGACAACTTCAGCCTGGTGTCTAAAATACAGTAACTGTAAAGCAATTCTACAACTGTGGTAGTGCCACAAAAAATATTTCTAAAATTTTTATAGGTGATCTATTACTCCAGATAAGTTAGCAAGGTTTTTTTCTGACCTACCAAACGATTGTTGGAAATGTCAAAAAAATGTTGGTTAATTTTTTCATATGTGGTGGACGTGCGATAAGAGTTAAAAAATACTGGTCTAGGTTTAATGAATTGTTACAAAAAATGTTAAAATGTACTATACCTTATATACCAGAACTAGTTTTATTGAATATATTACCAGAAAATTGTAAAAAGCAAGATTCCTATCTTATAATACATGTAGTGACAGCTGCAAGAATATTATACGCCAAATATTGGAGGAAAAATGAGGTACCTTCAAAAGAAGAAATTATAAATGAAATAAATGAAATACTTGAAACTGCAGAGATGGACAAATTAACTTTAATTCTGAGAGGACAAAATGAAGGAAACTTTGAGAATATATGGCCAAGGTTTTATAAATGGATGGAAAAATATAATAAATAAAGCATATGGATATACAACCGAAGCAGAAGACAAAGTGAACTATATTTTTAGTTATGAGTAAAGATTTAGGTAAAAATATAAGGTGGAAAAAATAAAATGTAATTAGATAATGTATGAAGTAATTTAACAGACAAAACAATATTGTAAATGGAATCCCCAAACTGTGTATGTATGTTTGTGCTTTTTTTCTTTTCTTTGTTTGTCTTTATAAAAAATAAAATTGAAAAAATATCGTCTTTCTGGTAGCTAGCCTACCTAAGCTTCTCAGGCTGACAGCACCCAGAGAAAAGACTCAAAAGAGGATCTCCACTGACAGGCTGATCCATATGGCAGAGGGCAGTCTTACAACCCGGATTCACAAACTGGACTTTGGTTTATGTCACAAATGAATTCTTGCTACGGAAGGCTGAAGTGCAGGGACTGAGGCATGCATCAATATAGAACTGGGGTCCCCAACCTTTCTGAGCCTGTGGGTACCTTTGGAATTCTGACACAGTGTGTGTGTGTGTGTGTGGGGGAGCCACAAAACAACGGCGGCAGGAAGGGGAGCCAGCCACAGAATGACTGCAGTAGCTTACCTTCAGTCACACCATGACGATCCTTGTATTGTGGTGGCAGCTGCTGCCAATGCAACATTTTAAAAAGTCTGCACAGCCAATCATATTTCGGATGGCCAATAGCCCCATCTGGTCACACCCACCTTCTAAAAATACTTGGTGAGCACCAGGGAAGACTTCCAGAGGCACTATAGCACCCACAGGTACCATGCTGGGGACCCGTGCTGTAGAACAATGATGCAGACCCTTTTGGAGCGAATTCCTGAAGATAATAGCAACAATGTAAAGGCTGGTATATCTACACTACAAATTAGTGTAGTGTATCTGTAGGCCGCTCACTATGCATCACCCAGTTGCCAGAGTTTCTGTATTAATAGAACAATCTGTGACCAGAGCTTTTTGTTAACCTGAATCATAATTGTCTCAGGAACATAAAATGAGCATAAATTTGGTTTCTGTCACCTTCCTAGCTCATCTACCATCCTTTTATAATGTGTCAAAATGTATATATTTGCAAGTAATGATCAACCTTGTTAGCAGCCTACATATTATTTGCATGTGTTTTCCATTTCGCTGGGCATCATCCGGCATACCTGTACAGAAGTGGGGGAAACCCTAATGCTTAAAGCAATAGCAACATATCACAAATCTTATATTTAAAGAACGGAACAGGAGATGGCCATCTCTGCTCATAGGTGACATTAAAATGATTACCATTCATGTGTTTTTGCAGCTCAGTAAGGAGGAGTGGTAAGAATCTTCTTGGTTCTGTAACTGGGTCATGCCTATCATCTTATAAACAAGCCTTACTCAAAAGCCATTTCCGTGTATTTATGGTTTTAAAATCATGAGCATCCTTGGGTCTATTCCTCAAGTTCTTTTAACCAACTAATTCAAAGTAAAAAAAAAAACCCAAGCATCTAGGTTGTCTCTCCACCATTACCATCCACTGCTCTACTTATAAAATACTCCTAAACTAACAAGGAAAATACACACCAAATCCACAGAGGGCATGCATTTGTTTTCATTAGAAGTTTTGTTACCACTGGACATAAAAATGGTTTATATTTCACAAATCATCGTTTAAGAGTGGACAAGAAGAAAATTCTGCTGTAGCACATTCTGGATATTCATACAGGTGTTTAAGAGGAGTTTAAAACAATCTATTGTGCTTTCTCCAGCATTAGAACACCACAAGTCATTTTGCGAAACCTCTTAAGTTAGCTATATGTGAAACCTCTTAAGTTAACTGTGGCCCCGGTCACACGAACGGTTTTGGGCCAGGAGAGGGACGGATTGGGGATGGAGCAAATGGGCGCGATCCCACCGCAACATCTGGGAAGCATTGCGCACCCATCCCCGATCCGGCCCTTCACCCGAAAAGCCGCAGCAAAAATAAACCACCTACTGAGGTGGTTTTTCCAGCACGCCGCATACAAAGCCTGGCCGTGGGATCGCCGGCGCGTCCCCGGCTCCTGGTTGAACTGCGCATGCTCAGACATGCGCAGTTCAGCAGTCTCCCTTTTCCCACCATGGCTTCCCCCGGCATCCGATCCTGCCGGGGAGGGAATGCGCCGCGGCTCAGGGGATCAATGTGATCCTGCCGCCGCGTATTTCTTTTGGTGCGGCTTTATAAAGCTGCACTTTCACCCATTCCTTTCCCCGTGTGGCAGGGACCTATATTAGCAATGCTTTGCCTATTTTATTTATTATTTATTAATTACTTTCCATTTATATCCTGCCTTGCCAGGCAAACTGGCTCAGTTTTAAATCCAGGCTAGCAAAAGACACAAAAAATGACCATGAACACCCCCACTGTTATTAATTTCATTTAAATGTGTCCCGAATCATTCTTATTCCTTGTTTGTTCTTGTATTTTCATTGAGGATTTGCAGTATGTACATACAAAGAGCAGAAGACCAATGAGGAGAAGAGAAGCAGCAAAGATAAATCCAGTTTATTCATGGGATGCAGGCTTTTCAGCTTCCCATTTCAGGGTTTCAAGGGGACAAAATCTCTCACAATGACTGCCATACACTGGGAAGTAAGTGGAGACATATAAGCAATCCAATGTGCTGCTTCACCCATTAAAATAAAACTGCATGTGCATGCTTAATGTTATGGTATTACAATGTTTAATGCTATGGTATCACAACCAGGAACACAATCCACGTAATATCTTTTATTAGGACCAACCCAATGACATGCAACATTGTGCAAACTTTGAAGCTCACCAGAACACTTCATCAGGCCAGATGTTAAAAAAAAATTAAAAATGAGCAGAGGAAAAAACCCCAGTTCTTACAAGTCATGTTCTTAAGACCTGGTCATGCCAGCATTTAGTGTGGATGCTATGCCGGCCTGATGATTTGAATTGCGGTTGGTATTAGATTATAGCACAAGGCCTCCATTGTGTGTTAGATCACAATACCATCCCAGAGCATCTGAAGAATACTGACTCTCCTAGGCAGCTTAAGAATAAGGGAGATTTATACAAAGATAGCAGGGAAGATTTAGCCGAAGACTTGTTCTTCCAGCTGTAGCTCAATGTGTCAGAGGGCTCTCAGGGAGTAAATCAGGATGTGGGTGCAACATCTATATCAGGATAAAGCCAAGGGTGAACACAGAAACATATGGATTCAACCCCCTGCACACAGGTTCAACGCAAAGCCAAGGTGATCTAAGCAGGAACAGATCAATTAACTAACAGCCTCCTGCTATTTTCTTTTAAAGCAGCAGCTGAAAGGGCTGGAGTTAAGAATGCACAAAGTGGATTTAGGTGACCTTGCATTCCAAGGCAGAGTAGGCCTAAGGAGCTACTCTGGACAGTAATTTCTGAAGTTGTTCTAATCCTTGACACAGAGAGTATTCCGTCTTTCTGTGTTTATACCTCTGAGGATGCCAGTCACAGTTACTGGCGAAACGTCAGGTTCTACAATGCCAAGACCACGGCCACACATCCCGGAAAATCTACAGCAACTAATGTTCTAAGGGTACCTTATTTGGCAGTGCTGGTTAATGATGACACTCAGGGCTAGGGACATACACAGTACCACAAATGCAGAACTCACCCCAGCAGCCTTTTGGATTGAAGGATTCTGACAAACATTTTTTTTAAAGCCTCTGGAATAAAAGTTAAACATGTGGCCCAAACCATTCTCTTGATTCAAGCTTTTGCCACATCTAGTGGACCACAAGAGACGTAAGGGCACAAACTTGGGTGACGGAACAATGAGGGGTGCTGTCAACACTGAGAATGAAGCAAGGGGAGGTGCTGAAGTTAGAGATTGTGATGGTCTATTGAAAAAGAGCTGTCAGGCAACAAGAGGAACAAAAGGAAACAGAACCTGCAAACAAATATGACTACTCAGTGGCATGTGAACACGCCATATCCCAAGCTGACTTGCTAGGGTTCAAGTCAAGACTTTAATTACTGGAATTAAGTTGTAATGGACAGGATTTAAATTTACCAAAGCTAAAAATTTTAACAGACACCCACAATATGACCTTGAGTCACTATTTCAAGCCCTTATGGTAAGACTTTAGATCCAGAAGGGAGAACAGCAATTGAATGGAATGCAAATCCTGCAGGTAAGATGGAACTGGGTATATATCTCTAAATATTTGTTTTATGCTATCTTAGTAAACAAACCTTCCTCCCGTGGATAGCATTATTTTGCAATTCATGCATTCACTGACAGAGAAATAATGATACTGGATATCTGGGAAATAGCCATCTGTCTAAAACCATGCATTTTTAAAGAATGAATTGTTTTAAGCAGAGGACTATTTCCCAAATATCCAGTATCATACTTCTCTGTCAGTGAATGCATGAAACAAAGCAAAAAATTAGAAATCTACACAGAAATCTAGAAATGCTAATCAAGCAGCAGTTATTCCAAAAGCGACTGTGTCTAATTCTACAAAACCTCTTTTAAGGGATACAATTTCTTCAAGTGCTCGATGTAATGTTGTAACAACTTGGACTTTGGTAGCCCTGATTTGTTCTGCTTTGTCTGTTCTCTGTAGAGCCTCAAAGGTGAAGCTAAGCAACATGTGTGGAAAAGAAGGATGTAGACCAACACTAGAAGTTGTCCACCGCTGCATTCCCAAGGCATTTATTTTGCTCACCCAACATTTCTGTTGCTGTGCAATATAAGATTAAAAGGATCACAAAAGCATAATGTATGTTTCATTACTGTTGGTATTGCAAACTATTAAAAAGTATTAGATTAAGGTTTTTAAAAATCAATATTATAATCATTTAGTGCACAACCGTGCACATTTAACACTCAATTTAACTCACTTGATATCTTGTACTACCAACACAATGTGCGGGAAGAAACTGCTGGGAATTGTTTCAGATGCTCTAAAGTATGTTAATTTCCAAAGCAAAATGACTTGTGTTGTGAATTTTAACGCACTTGAAAGCCTGTACTTTCTCTCGTTCTGGAGCACAAATTTTGCATGTCTGAAGAGCTGTGATTCATCTTAAGAAAACCCATCTTGTGTTAAATGGAACGGAAACTGGACTAAGTGGTCAAATGACAAGTACATTCATATTCAAGCTGTATTATAAATGCATGTACAGTAATTTACGTCTCTCAGCTACCACAAAAGGCGCTTGATAAGCAGGTAATTTGCTAAATGGACTCCTTTATCCAAGTATTCGAAGGGCGTTACAAGAAAAATCTGCAGAGGCATTAATGTGACGTAAAGGTCAAGCATTGTGACATACCTTTCAAATAATCCCGCCTAACTTGCGTTATGATGAGGAGGCTGCTGGCAGCATCGTTCAGCACGAAGCCCTTGATGTGGGTCTCGGCGCTAAAAGAAGCAGACATTTAGAAAGGAATTACTGACATGCTTCTGATACGATAATAAATGGTTGAGCACCAAGGTGAAATTATAAAAACTACTGTTCGTATGTTAAAAATATTGCTGCAAAATATCGACCTGGAGACAGCTTTTGTGTTATCCTGTCAATGGTTATAGAAGGATAATTTTTTTGTGCATTCTGACAGATGACAAAGTTGGAAATGAGCAACAAAAGAAACAAAGTACAAGATTTTTTTTAAACAATCGGTTCAGATTCTTGAATGCTGACATATTAGATGACGAAAATAACTGCATGCCCTGCATTGTTCTGCTGTATCCTAAGTGGGATACTTTTTCTTCTTTTTAAAACAGTCACCATAATTATAAAATGTAAAACTATTCTTTCCACAATAAAAAATGAAACATTTATTTTCAGCACTGTATATTTTAAATATAAACTAAAAGATATTATGAACCAACACCATATCATTTGGTTGATTTAATTTTCAAATTTCTGTCATCTAGATGTATACAGGGGTTTTTAAAAACTCGACATATTTCTTTTGCCGACTTAAAATGAAATTTCAACCTCAGTTCTGTATTCCCTACAACGCAAAAAAAAGGGGGGGAGGGGACACTTGGCTTTAGTAACGTAGTTTAAAACCTTTCAAGAAACATACATCCAGGGCAGATTACCATTTTTTCTCTCTCTATTTATGTGCATGCCTCCAAATGCCCTCACCATCCCTAATGAAATGTTAATATCACAGGATAACTTTACAAGGTTCACAGAAAATCTCTGCTCACACGAGCATGTGCACAACTGCCATTTGCCATATCAACAATCAAGATAAACTGCAGTGATCATCTTGTGGCGAACAACTGAGCAGCCTACCTACTTGAACTTATGAGTTGAGCGGATTGGGAGGTAAGCAGGGTCATTGCTAAATTATTCTCCTCAATCCCAAGAAAATCCTTCATTGAGTACACAATATGACTATCCTCTCAGTCACTTTCAGCCTCTGGGGCCCACAAAATGCAGTCATTGGACTCAGGATTTTCCTACTCTCCCAACCAATCCCCTTAATCCCTGCCTAAGCGTCCATTGCTCAGTTCCGCTTTTTTCTTTGTCCCATCTGTCAAAGCCCTTAAGTCAACAATTCATGCATGAGACTGTAAATTACATGTAACAAAGGATTTACTTTCTCCAATCTTCCAATCTTTAGTGTGATTAAATAGATGTTAGCCACTATTACAGATCTTAATCCCTCATTCCAATAGTACTACATTTCTATTTTAGAATCATACCTAAAATTCATAGGAATCCTAAAAGACACTTGGCTGGCATACCTAAAATTCATAGGAATCCTAAAAGTAAGACACTTGGCTGACCATAAGCATCTGAAAACTTGAATTTTCTTAACTGTTTACATTTAGAAAAACAGTCTCTACTATAATTTAGTCTCTCTCGTACACCAGGTAAATATATGACTATGAGGCCTGGGACCGAGGTATCTGGAAGACCGACATGTTCCCTTATATACTTGCTCGTACAATGTATTCATCTTCAATTTGTATTGACATTCCTTCAGAGATAAAACAGATGGTCATGAAGGACTAGGTCTTCTCAGGAGAATTACTCCAGCTACGGAATTATTTTACCTTTCTCCTTCATAACACTGCCATCACTTATGGTCTTCCAGTACCAGGATAAACTGTTTTTACTTTAGCAAATTTTTAAATTAAGGAAAAAACCCTATTACTTCCCCACTCCTGATTATTTTATTGGTTGGTTTTACTACTGATGTTTACTACTTTGACATGTGTGTGCTTACAGTTTGGTGTAGTGGTTAAGTGTATGGACTCTAATCTGGGAGAACAAGGTTTGATTCCCCACTCCTCCACTTGGACCTGGCTGGATGACCTTGGGCAAGCTGTAGTTCTGATAAGAGCTGTTCTTGAAAAAAGAGTAGTTTCTGTCAGAGCTCTCTCAGCCCCACCTACCTCACAGGGTATCTGTTGTTGGGAGGGGAAGGGAAAGGAGTTTGTAAGCCGCTCTGAGACACCTTTGGGTAGTGAAGGGTGGGGTATAAATCCAATCTCTTCTCTTGTCCTACATGTGCAATGCTCTACCCCACCCTCACATTCATTCCTTCTAGCTATGTCCATATATGCTACTGAGCCAGGGATCCAGATGCAAACCACTAAAACTTTTGACTCATGGGTCGCCAATGACTAATGTGCAGAATCCCGCTACATTATGAGTAATACAATGTTTTTTCAGGCCCACCATGCTAGCCACAGGAAATCAGAATCTTTTCAATGTTCATTATACTAATAAGAAGTTATAAACCCTCTGAGCACAGAGTTTGCTTCTAGATTCTGGATGCTTCGTCTATTTATTAGTGATTATGATGCCTTTCTTTTTGCAAAAACAAAGGCAAAAAACAAACCAACAAACCTTAAGACAGCTATCAAATACAAACCGGTAAAAATAGGAAGAACTGTCTTTCACTTCCTGTTCTGTAGAACAGCTAGATATTAATAAAGGGATGGGCCAGGTGGGTCAGGCAGACCAATGGAAAGGGCCTCCCTCACTCTTTTCCTCCTCTTCCTGCACTGGGTAGTATGCCACTGATAGGGCGGAAATCTATCCCATTAGATTAAATGAAGTTTAAGAATGAAGTTAAAAATAGACTGATCCATCATTCAAGAACAGCCCAGACTGGCTACCAGCTTTCTTTTCCTTGACTGACAGATTTGATTATAATGCTGTTTCACTGGTTACAATAAATCAAGAGCACCCTAGTGGTTCTGTATTGCCTATAATAAGTAATGTAAGGTGTAACGAAGTAAATAAGGTTTGTGCATGTAATAGCTATTTATCTTTGGTAAGCAGTTTGCACCGGATCTTGTGCGAGGAAAGTCACAAGGTATCCAGAGAATTTTGGCCTACATGTGCGACGCACACACCTTGTATGGCAAGCACATTTGTTCTTGTTTACCCTTTGTGTAGCACAAATATTTATATCTGCTTGCACAACTGTATTGCAGAAGCAAGGTATTGTCTCTTGATGTTCACAGAACTTTAGATCATACCCATCTTTTTTTGTTTGGCTGCCATATTTTCAAGAATATAATTGTGCACTAAACTTATATAGAGGCAGTGATTTATAAAACTGCGCAGAGGAACAGCTCTGCTCCATTTCTGAATATTTCATAATATGATTTCTGGGGGTAAAATCTGCTAGCCTTATTCCAAAAGCATTTAGCAGTTAACCAATTGCAAAGATTAAAAGAAGTTATAATGCAGGAACGATTCCCCTGGTCAGACCATTGCACATTTAATCAACTACCCTAGCAAAACTATATTTCTGACAGATTTTCCTGTAGTGAATGGCATAAGTGACATGGGATTCATATTTTATGTCTAAGGTAGAATTTTATGACCAGTTGACTAAATCTGACTTACTACTCATACCATTTTGTCAATATACTCACTAAAAAGCCACTGTTGCAGTGTTCCATGTCTGCTTTTTGGACCTTAAGGACTAACCAGCCATACAAAGTGAATGGTGCTTGGATGATGCATGCACTTGTTTAATTGTTAAATGTACCAAGTGTGCGGCTATGCTGTGATGCACCATTAGCTACAAAATGACCCGAGAATGCCACCTTCTTTTTGACTTATGACATGCAGCACATCGGAAATGCCCATCCATTATGCTGCTCCCAAGCAAGACTATTTTCCTAATAGGAAAATGAAACATTTACCTGAAAACTAAAGTATGTGATAATTTTTATGCAAGGTTACAAAGGTACAGATATAAGACTTACATGTTTTTTACTTGGAGGGCTTTTTCAAGACAACCCTCACTCAGCAGCGTTCTTATAAGGACTGAATAACCAAGGGAATCAAGCATAATACCCTTCTTTTGTGCCTCTAGTAAAACGTTGTATGCTTCTGCAACGAGAATTAAAAAAACAATTGACGTGTCAGTTTGTACTGAAATGCAGCAGAAGAGCATTCACATCTTTTTATTTTGAAAAAGACAGCATTTGAAACAAATTTATTCCTCTTTTCTTCAGGTATCTTTGAGTCCAAAGCTATATTTAAGAAACTGTCTGCTTTCTTGGCTGAAGTGAATGCTCTTTTCTGTGTAATTGTTCTTAAAAATACAGATTCCCCCCCCCAAAAAACTTTCAGTAACTTAAATTTGCCTTCGTAGTTTAAAATACACATACATATATGCACAATGTACCCAGCTACTGCCAGTAATGACTTCAACAATGTTCATCTACAAATTTCCTCTTTTAAGTTCATCAGTGCGCCCTGACATGCCATTGGTTTTGCAAACATACTGCATACAAATTTTAATGCTATTCCTAATTCTCAGGTAGGGAATTACAATGTTTGATATTGTATCACAGTAGCATGGCAGCAAATATTGGCAGTGTTTTCAGTATTGGGAAATCAAATTATTTGGCTAAGACAAGATTTACATAAAAACATACAATTTACAAATATACAGATATTTAACAAGTAAACTAAAGCTGTATTTATTTGACTGATTAACAGTTTTATTTCACACATTCACAATAACTGTCAGTTTGTGAAAAGACGTTACCAAAAAAAAGGGAAAGAAAGAAAAAAGGTAACCACACTTTTCAGTCATTTACTTTTCTGAAATAAGATGATGCCGCTGTAAACATTCTGTAGAAAATGTAATATATACTCCAAATTCCCCCCCTACTTCTGGAAAAAATTACTGAATTTTTGATAATTTCAAATGTCAAAGTAATTTTTAACATCTGAAATACAAGTACAACCATGATAGTACCTAAGATCCTATATACTTTGCAGATGCAAATGTTAGTTCAGTTCAGCCTGTATTTGAAAATGTATTTACAGATCAAGAGACAGAATAAATGAGAAACAACTTGGACTGTTACAGCAGACTGGCCACATATTCTTACAATGCGAGTTCTACTGGATCCTTTATACCTGAACTAAGGTATGCTCAAGGACAAAGGACTCACTAGTATTCATGTAATTATGGGATAGGCACTATTCATACACTGTTACATATATATCCAGGACAGTTGGTACTTACAAAGATATTAATTAATTTTAAAGATTCACATGCAAGTATTTAAACTTTCTTCTTTATATGTCCACAATGTTTGTGTTTTCAGTACAGCAATTTGTGTCTAATATATAAAAGATGCACTCTCAGACAAACAAATCATAGTGAGTGACAGAAGATTTTGCTTGAGACACAACTGCACCTTATGACCCTTGCATCGTTCCTGGACAGTTCAAGACAAATAGTGTTATAGGCTTTATAAAGACTTGGGGATGTAATGTCCAGGTGAGAACTAAATAGGGTTGAATCCAAGTGCAAGCTGAATGGACACCACGTTGGTTTTTGAATAGGTTCTGTTCTATTTCCATATCCTTGGGAATACTTTTTGAGAACGTAATGTAGCATGTGTGTTTGTTTTTTTGATGGAATCATCTCTGTGTTCACATATATACACTTTTAATGTGAATTTTCTTTTCAGGATTCCTCCCCCCTCCACTAGACCGCACAAGTCTGTCAAATTTCTAGGTGCAACCAAATACCCACAAGGTATGAACAGGGTGATTGTTATGATCACAAAAGCAGTCAGTGGTCATACTACTGGTGTTTTCCCCCCCGTAACTATGCTTACTTAATATCAAAAGAGAGAATTAATTTATCCATTAGGGGAGATACCCATCCTCCCTCTATTTCTTAAAAAAACTTTTTATTGCTTTTATACTATAAATACAAACTACACACTACAAATTCAGAGTAGCAAGGCTCAATAATAACCTATCTTTCACTTTAGATACTCCCTTATATATTTATGTTACAATATATCGTTTACCTTTCAAATATAAAGTATTCAAATAGAAAGAACAAATACTAATTGGTTATAACAACACATATGAGCAATAATATATGTTCTATAAAGCTTAACAGAAAAAAATGTTAGATCTTCATTTAGGTGTCTTCTTCTCTTTGCGCCTTTTCTTCTTTTGCCAGGGGATTTTAATCTTATATAATCTGGGGGCAGTCGCTCCCAGTTCAGAGTCAGAATCAGAGTCGAAAATTTCGCCCAAAGACACAGAGGTAGAAGAGGAACTGTCGCTAGCTATCTTCTGTTGTTCGCTTTTTTCTTCTGTGGCCTTCTCTTCCCCTGCTTTCTCCTTTTTCTTTGTTGAACTCTGATGCTGCTTCAAGAATGAATCTGCTTTAGTGAGAGAGTCAATTTTTCCCTTTTTACCTTTATAGTTGAAAATAAGTCCTTCTGGTAAAATCCTTCGATACTGAATGTTGTTTCCTTGGAGAAATGTTGTAATATTTCTGTATTGCTTCCTCTTCTTCCATATTTCAAATGGAACATCTTTCAGCACTTTTATGTCTTCCTCTAGGATTTTTAATATTGTCCTGGTTGTTGCTTTAAGTATTAGGTCTCTTGTTGATCTTCTTGCAAATTTAACAAATATTTCCCCTGGAAGATTATTTTTCTTCACAAACTCTGAATATGTTCTGTAAATCATATCTATATCCACTTGTAATATTTCAGGTTTGCTATTGATCAGGGGGGCCAGTGCTTCACTTAGGATCTCTCTTAGATTCTCGTCTTGTTTTTCTGGGACCCCTTGAAATCTCAAAACATATAGAGATCGTTCCACTTATAGTTGTAATAATTGTTGCTTTTCAGAAGCTCTTTCTTTATCTGCTACATCCGTTCTTCGGACCAATTCTTTGGACTTACATCCAACCTTTTTAAGCTTTTGGACAGTATTCTTTGATCTTACTTTAGTCTTTTTCAGTTCTTGTTGCAAATCATCAAATCTCTTGTTGAGGTTTGTCAGCTGGTCTAGCAGGGGGCGCAAGGCTTCAGAAATCGTACCAGCAATATCGGAAGTAGTTCCTGATTGTGTGACCGGTGATGTTGTGCTGGCAGTTCCTGTTGTCGCTTTGACTCTGGTCGCCATTCCCCCCCCTCGCTGCGTCATTGTTTACAAAGGTAAAAGTTTTTAAAAGTTCAAAGATTCTTCTCTGCAATGTATAGTAAAGCCCACTGGGCTCAGAGTCATTTGGGTGGTTTTCTAACAGTAGAGTTTCGGCTTAGCTTCTCATTCCGATACTTTTAACGCTGATTTCTAGGGTAGGGTTCCTCCTCCCCCTCCGAGAGGTTCCCCCCTCCCTTTCTGCCTGTGGACCTTTGCCGTCTCTCTGCCAGTTCCCACACCTGCTTTTCATTTGTCTTTCTTTTCTAAACTTCTTCACTCACGTTTTGCCGCTGAGTATCTTCATAATAGGGAAAGTCACTTTGATTTAGGTCCTTGCACGCTCTGGTCTGGTAACGTCTCTTGTCGCCATTGCTGGCTTTGGGGAGGTGGGACCTTATGGAGCTAAGAGAAGCCTCAAACCCCCAGCGGTGGCTTCGGGTGCAGCTCCTCCAGCACTCCAGGCTAGAAGCCCCCTACAAGGGCTTCAGGGGGAGATCAAATGAATCCGATCTCCCTCCCTGCTGCCCCGATCCAAATGCACGCATTGGAGCTTGATGGGGTGCGTCTGTCCACGAGTCACCGAAACCCCCCATCTTCCCTCTAGACCATTATTTTCTGTAGTAAGACAGTTACTCCCCCCCAAATTTTGATTAACTTTGAAGAGAATACAGTTGAATTTGCTGATAAATTCCCATCCTCCCTCTAGAATGTATCAGCAAATTCAACTGTATTCTCTTGAAAATTAATCATAATTGGGGGGGGGAGTAACTGTCCTACTACAGCAAATAATGGTCACACTGATAAATTAGCCATAAACTATTTTTTATCACAGCAAGGGGGGGCAGAACTAAAGAGTGTTTATAGATTAAAAACTATCTGGTAAGATTTATGGAACAGTTTCTGCAGTAATTTTGATGCTGCATTGCAATTGTTATTTGGTTGAGGTCACCACAGGGGTACCCAGTTTGTATTGAAAGAGTTAACACATTTCTTTAAAAAAATAAGGAAGAAGAATAATTTATTTACCTTCAGCTTCACCCTTTTTGCAGAGTATGAATATTTTCTTTTGAGGTTCAGAAGACAGTTCAGAAGACTGAGAAGAGGAAGAAAGGGCAGGATAGACATCCTTATTGTACCAAACCTAAAAAGGAAAGTCGTTGACATGAACATAGTTATCTTCTCCTTATGTTCCCTCTTAGTATCCTGTGTAACAAGGCGTATTCTTTAATGCAAACATTTCGCCAAGAACATCAAAAGTGAAATATACCTCGGGCATATCAAAAGGAACTTCCTGATTATTCATTTTAAGAATATCTGCTAGTAATCTCATGGTTCTTTCACGTGGGATGACATTTTCTTCTTGCATTTTAGTCCAAATGGCATCAGCCCTTTGCCCATCATTGTTTTGCTCTGAAAGGAGACATTAAACACAAGCAAAATCAAACAAACAGGAATCACTAAAGGAATCACATTGAGATTTTCTATGGCAAGGTGGTTTTATGTGCTCTGGACATGAATGGATTTTCCTGTTTCACAAAACTGGTCCAAATCAACTTCCTTATTTGCTTAGTAGAGAACATAAGTTTAAATACACTTTTTTTTGGGGGGGGGGGGTTCCTAGTATTTAAAAAACAAAATGGATAACAATAATAACTTCCACAAGAGTTACATTAAATATGCAAGGAGACTCACAGGGCTGTAAACTATCACACCACTTCTCAAACAAGTTACATAAGATTAAAACAATGGGGGGCCATGAAGAGGAAATTTTGGAGAGGTGGCTGATGCATCGATGCATCAAGTGTTCTTTCCCATATAATGGTTAGCTTTGTATGAAATGCAAAACAGCATAATATCCTGCAATTTATCCTGCAAATCTCCTGTCAATCCTCACTATAGCTGACACTAGACTAAAAAACTGAATGGTAACACAATCTTGTTCAATAAACTGTGACTTTCACAGATGAGTCCTGGGCTAGAACAATGGCTGGATCAGCAATTGTAAAACTATGTGATCTGAAAGAACTGCTAGTGTTCTGTGACTAATAAAGTGCCCTATAGGAATCAAAATACTTCTCTCAGAGGAGGCCCCCTATTATGCATCTCTAGAGGTTACTGTCTGGACCAATAAGGAAGAAGATTGCAGAAACATAGGGAGTGTGTTCCTATGAATGCAAATACTTCTCACTCTTTTAGGGTGTGCTGTGTAGTGGTTAAAGTATCTAACTGGGACTGGGGGGCACCTTGGTTCAAATCTGCACTTAGCCATCAAGGTCACTGAGACCCTGGGCCGTGTTACCCCCTCTCTCAGTCTAATGTACTTCACAGGGTTGTGGTGAGGATAAAGTAGGGAGAGCAGAGCCAGACATGCCATCCTGAGCTGTTTATCAGCTGAGGACTTATATAATAGATGGAATGGCTCTGGTATTAAGATGGAAAAAGGGGGTCTTCAGCTTTTAGAAGCAGGAAAAACACTGGCTTGGAAAGAACACTGGCTTGGAAAGTAATACTAAAATAACTCCTGTCACTTAAGTAATAACCCCTTGTGCTGTAAAGCAGTATTGCTAGGGGCCAATGCTCACTCCTCCAAGTGTACCATTATTTTTATTCATCCACAATATTTATATTATATGAATTTTGATAATATTCTGTCTTTTGATGTGTTGTCTGACCTAAGAAGCAAGTACAAGTAACTAGTATAAACTTATACTTTCTGCCCAAAGTTTGAGTCCAGTGGCACCTTTAAGATGAACAAAGTTCAAACTTTGTTCTACTGCTTCAGACAAACACAGCTACCCACCTGAGTCTACTTTCTGTCCAATTACAGTTGAATTTAACTGAAGCTTTGGTTTGATGAAGAGAAATTATTTTAACTGTTCTTGTATAACTTTTACTATATAAAACAACAACGAGAAACGCATTGCGGGGAGGGCGGGGTATAAATCGAATTAAATAAATAAAATAAAATAAATAAACTATTCCTGAGTGCAATCTCATTGTTTTTTAAAAAATCTTTCAGCTGGTTAGTGAGTTGAAGGCTCTTACACTATATTTTTGAACAAATGTGTAAAAACAATTTGTTCAGAATGACATGTTAACAGCAGAGCATCTACTATGCATTAATTTTTAACTTGCATTTTGCTCTGAGGTCTTTTAGCTGGATATCAGATACTTTTAGCTGGAACTTGGTTTCTGCTGTAGAAATGTGACACATGATGTTAACATGCAATTATCAAAAAGTCAATCCTTTGTAGTTTTTACAATGTAAGGAGGTTTGACTTATCACCTTGCTACCCTAAACCTTCTCTCACAAGGACTATGATTACTCATTTGAATAAACTATCATACCAAGTTAAATAATGCTGAAGTCTGCATCTTTCTTGCACGAGGAATAAACCCTAAAGCAACTACCAACAAGTTGCACTTTTTCGTCAGGTCTTGCAACTATTCAACCAATGAAGACAGGATTTGAGAAAGTCTCTACCAATAATAAAGCCCCATCTCTTTGTAGAACACTGAGGGGCTAGAATGACTCCCATACTAGGGGTGGGATACATACACATACAGTCCACATGCTGCCAGAGAATATCCCTAGCAGCTGCAACCAGTATAAAACATGCACCCAAAGCTGGCCAGAGGTACGTTACAAGAGGCTAGTTTCTCTCATGTGCTTTCTTGTAAGGCCTGATTTAAACATGATATTGGCAGAGGCACCTGTGGGACTTTGCAGCAATGCTGCTTTACTCAGATGACAGTCCAGTTAAAATGAAATGTTGTGAGATGAAAAACCCTACGGAAGACTGCTTTTGCCTCACCAATGTCACATATTAATCAAGCCTATTGCCAGGTTTACACATGCAGGAGAATGCAAATATAAAACTAAACACATTGGGAGGAAAAATTTCCCTCTGTCTTGCTGTGCTGCCTTTCTGTTTGGAGAAAGTTATTAGCATTATGAAATATGACCCTCCTCTAGTCTAACATGGCACAGTTCATTCTAACACCCATTCTCTTGTGTGTGTTATCTGTTTGGCCTCTTGGTTTTCAAATCTGGTGGGGGACTTGGAGAATGCTCTATGTCCTCCCTCAGAAGGATCCTTTCAAGGTCCATTCCCATCCTCTTGGCAGTGAGAGGTGCCTACCCTCTAGTCATTCATGTGTAACTGCCCGCAGAAGAAGACACATCCTCATTAGCCTGTAAACAACATGTAGGACACAAGTTTCTTTAAAAATGATTTTATGTTTGTACTCGGCTGCACTCCTACATTTGTACACAGAGGGGAAAATTCAATTTAGTGACTCTAATACACAGAAATAGCTACAGAAGCAGCATAGTGCCAGTCCATGCAACAACTTTAATAGGTGGCTTAGAAGGGTTACACATAGGTAAATGTGTGTGTTTCTTTTTTGTCTTAATATGGCAAAGCTGCAAACCTTTCTATTTATTTGAGGAGATGGAATTGGTTGTGCATTTTCTTGCTGACTGAAGAATTTGTACCCGAGAGTTTGATAAAAGTTATCTACTTAGATTTCTCCTCTCAGCAGACATGCTGTCAGTGTGAGTAACCAATTGGAGGGAGACAGGATGCTGCTGGGAATGAAGAAGACTCCCTCCTACTGAACGAAGATTGTTTTTTTGAGCCTAGTTGCTTTATTATGGTGAACCAGGATTTGTAAAGCAAAAATGCACTTTATTTTTCTACCACTGTGGCTGTTGAGAAAATGAAATGCAATACAAAAAAATGAATAATGGATACAGTAAGCCCTTTCTCTACTGAACATTCCTTTTTGACAACAAAAGAGGAGGATGCTCTTTCATTTGCAAACAACCTACTTGCATGTTTTTTTCAAGAGAGGTAAAGGAGTCCAAAACCCAATTATCCTAAATATAGTTACAGACAGCCATGTCTTTTGTAGCAAAAAAACCCAGGTTGCTTACTTGTAACTGATGATCTTCCAGTGGTCATCTGTGCAGTACCACACATGGGTTGGGCGCCTGTGCATGAACTCAACCAGAGAACTTCTAGAGCTTTGCCTCAGAAACCTTTTGGCGGGCTCTCTTCCCGCCCTGGGGAGAAGGCATGTACTGTGCATGCCTGGAGCGGGGGAGAGAGCCGCCTCCTACTCAGTTCCTTTGACCGCTACTGGTAAGTCCCATCAAGCCAAAGAAAGGTGAACAGGAGATGCCAGCAGTGGGGAAGGCTGGGTGGGATTGTGGTACTGCACAGATGACCACTCGAAGCAACCTGTTTATCTTCATCGTGGTCCCTGTGCAGTCCCACACATGGGTGATTACAAGAGCTAAACCAGTTGAAGGAGGGAGCTGGCAATTGCAAAAAACACAAAGAAAACTGGTTAAGACACAGCATCATCAGTGAGAAAAAACACTCAAGGGTCCTACCTGGAGATGCAGCAGGGTCAAGCAAAAAGAGATCACAGCACTGACTGGCCGAATGCAGCATCCCATCGAGCTCGGACATCGAGTGCATAGTGGGTCATGAAGGTCGATGCCGAGGACCACGTAGCAGCTGCACAGATGTCCTCTAGTGGAACACCAGCCAGGAAAGTGGTGGATTTCGATACCGCCCGTGTGGAATGGGCAGTGACACAGGTAGGAACGGGTTGACGTGCAAGCTCATAGCAAAGGACTATGGTGGAGGTCACCCATTTAGACAAGCATTGAGAGGAGATTGGCTCCCCCACATGAGGGAGGCCATAGGCAAGGAACAGCCGAGGAGATTTACGTATAGTCTGAGTCCTATGTAAATAAAAAGAGAGCACTCTGCGCACATCGAGGCAGTGGAGGGCTCTCTGCGGAGCATCAGTCAGATTTGGAAAGAAAGAAGGTAAGACAGATGACTGGGACAGGTGAAAAGCAGAAACGACTTTAGGCAGGAAAGAAGGATCTAGTCTAAGGACAACCTTCTCCCTATAATTGTATAGGGGGGGATCAGCCCAAAAGGCAGCTAGTTCCCCTACTCTGCGTACAGTAGTAATCGCTATAAGGAAGGCCGTCTTCCAGGAGAGCAACCTGAGATCGACCGTAGCCATGGGCTCCAACAGCTTGGACATAAGTTGAGTGAGAACGAGTGACAGACTCCATGAAGGCACCAAAGGCTTCCTAGGGGGACAGAGTCGGAGGAGACCTTTAAGGAACGACTTTGTAAGACGGTGGGAAAAGACTGTGGAACCCTGTATCAAGGGATGGTAGGCGGAGATGGCCGCTAAATGAACCTTTAATGACTAGTATGCAAGGCCATTATTTTTTAATGAGACGACGTAGGAAAAAAATCTCACGAAGAGACAACTGCACGGGATTGAAGGAGTGATCAGAGGCATACGACTGGAACCTCTTCCACTTCAAACAGTAAATGGCACAGGTACAGGGCTTCCTGGCATTCAGGAGGACT